TGCTGGTAGAAAGAAACCTAGACAGGGAGTTCGACAGGTAATTAGGTAGAGTTTAGGTAGGCAGGTAGGTAGGTAGGTAGGTAGGTAGGTAGGTAGGTAGGTAGGTAGGTAGGTAGGTAGCGAGGTACATAATCAGAGTGTCCCGATTCTTTCTGCACTGAACCTGAACTCTCAACTCTACAGCCTCAGTACAACACCCAACCACAAACCTCCCCCCCAGACCCAGAACGGTTTAGGTTTAGGGTTTAGGGCTTAGGGTTTAGGGTTTCTTGGGTTTAGGAGTCTAGGAGTTTAGGGTTTCGGGCTTACTAACCCTAAGCAACAAAAAAGGAGCCTGAGCCCTGGGCCCTTGTGGAAGAACGTCCCAGGCGGCCCCTGCTGTGCCAACTCTGGAGCTGGTGGGCCTCATAGGGTTAAGGGTTTAGGGTTTAGGGTTTAGGGTTTAGGGTTTAGGGTTTAGGGTTTAGGGTTTAGGGTTTAGGGTTTAGGGTTTAGGGCCAGAGACTCCTTTTTTGACAGGAAACTCAGCAAAGCCGAATACACCGAAGCCCTAGTTCCTACGGGAGCCCCAGAGACTCCACAACCAGTTTAGGAATTTAAGGCTTTGGGGTTTAGGGTTTAGGGTTTAAGGCTTTAGGGTGAAAGGTTTAGGGTTTAAAGTTTTAGGGTTTAGGCTTTACGGTTCAAAGTTTTAGGGCTTGGGGTTTAGGGTTTGGGGTTTTAGGGTTTAGGGTTTAGGAATCGGGCCTACAGGGTGTAGGGCTTTGGGGTTGGAAGCCCGATATATGAGTTAAGGTGTATTCCTTATTTCAGGGGTTTTGTGGAGCCTCAATGAGTTCCGATGTCTCGGGGGCTTCAGGGCTGGCGGGTCTGAAGGGATGGGGTTAGGGGCATGGCGTTTGGAGTTGTAGTTCGGCTTTAGGGTTGAGGATTTCGGGTTTCGGGTTTTGGGTGAGAGGGAGGGTTTAGGGTTTAGGGGGGTTTAGGGTGAGAGGGAGAGAGGAATCGATGGGATCTCGAACAGAAGGTGCAGTAGTGACTGGAGACTGAGATGGGTGACAGCCGCAGAGGGTTCTACAAGGGCTTTGCGAGGCTCTATCGGGGCTCTACAAGGGTCTTATGAAAGTTCTGCAATGATTCAAACAGGATTCTAGAAGGGCCCTGCCAGAGCGTTTGAGTAGCAGGCTGGAAGATGACCCTAAACCCTAATCTGAAACCCTAAACTCAAACCCTGAACCCTAAACTCTAAACCCTAAACCCTAAACTCTAAACCCTAAACCCTAAACTCTAAACCCTAAACCCGGAACCCTAAACCCTGCACCCTAGACCCTAAACCCTAAACCTTACTCAACAGCTCAACACTCTGAGCATCAGGCTGGGTTTCTTCTCTGCCTGCGGCCAGGCGCCACATCCGAGGACCCGAAACCTTAAACCCCAAGATCGACTATAAGGTTTAGGGTTTATTTAGGGTTTAGGGTTTAGGGTTTATTTAGGGTTTAGGGTTTCTGGTTTCTCCGGTTTAGGGTTTAGGGTTTATGGTTTCTCCGGTTTAGGGTTTAGGGTTTATGGTTTTTCCGGTTTATATAGGGTTTCTTAAATCCTGAAATGGGGGGTGTGAGCTTCGCCTTTTTCTGCCAGAAATTGCCGGCGCTCTCTGTCACGGCTCACATCCGCCCGGTCTTGTGCCGAGCATCGTGTCTGTCTCTCAAAACCCTAAAGCCTGAACTCTAAACCCCAACCCTTAAAACCAAGCATTCTGTCAACCCTCCATCACCGTCTTCACAAACTCCACAACATGCTCCTGAGCAGCAACGACATGCTCACCAAAATTCCAGCTTTCAGGCTTCGGACCTAGGATTCTTGGGGTTTGGGGTGTAGGATCAAGGTGCAATCATATGGCCATATGGAATGATTGACTGACCCGTCACAAGAAACTGCAGCGGATGCTCAAAAGACACAACTTCCACGAGCCAGCGGATCTCGGCACCTGAACAGTCCTCTGTCCCAAATCAGCCAGATGCCAGGCCAGTCTTCACCGTAAATCCTAAACCCTAACCCCGCACAAACGCTGATAAGACACCTCCTGATCAACAGACCAACTCTGAAATCTGCCGAGGATCCGCCACCTCACTTGGAGCCTTGCAACGGCCACAAAGCTGATGCATGGCATAAGTTTGGCGGTTCAGCGGGTAGAGTTTAGGTTTAGGGTTTAGGGTTTACGGTCGACGGCTTATTGCGCGCTCTCATCGTGTCCTTTCCCCTCCTCTGCGCCGGGCTCGAAGATCATTGCAAACAGCCCGGCTGTTTAGGAACTCCTTTAGGGCATCCAAGGGTTTTGGGTGGTGGGTTTAGGGTTTGGGGTTTAGGGTTTAGGGTTTTGGGTTTTGGGTGGTGGGCTTTGGGTTTAAGGTAGAGTCTACATCCCACGGTGAGGCGACTGATCAAGGCTGGATCTACCTGCCAGCAGACTTTCCAGCCTTCTTCAAGGATCGTGGGACTTAGTAAGTAAGGTTATATGTACCCTAGTCGGGGCTACAAGTACCTATAAGTATAGTTACCTTACTTATATCCATACTTACTAAGTCCTTTGATCCTTGAAGTAGATGTCTGCCATGATGATGCGAAAACAATGAAGATCTCGAAACTTCTCATGGTAAGCCCTCAACCCTAAGCCACATGCACCAAATGGCCCTAATATAGGGGCCGGAATAATCAGAATAATTAGGATTTTGGGGTGTACTTTTTCAAGACTTATAAGAAAGAGCCCCAAAATAGTCTCGGAAATCCTTCTGCCCCCCGTAGTAGTCATCCGAAGCCCTGGACCACCGCGCCTCTAACATCGGAGCATGACCAGCTCCAGGCACTTCCACTCCTTTTGACTTGGGGAGAGCCGCGACAAGCGCCTGGAGAACCAAGAGACTCGGTTTAGGGCTTAGGGTTTACGAGAGCTAAGGGTTGCTATAAGGCTTGCTCTATAAGGACTACTGTAATTATGGGATACCATAAGAGAGAATCTTAGACTCTGAAGGGGATTATAAGGTCTGTCTTGCGGGATACGGTAAGCGAGACTAATACGGGGCACGAAAGGGGACACGATAGAAACTTTAAGCAATGCCATGCGATACGCTGGGTTACTGGAGGGGTTGAGGGGAGTTTAGGCTTCCCAGAGACACCCAAACCCCCTGATTTCTGCAATAGACCTTAAATCATAGCAAGGATCCCGCTGCAATTTCAGGTATATTGCTTCAGGGTATATGTTGCTTACCTCTAGAGGAGTTGAGCTTCTAGGAAGAGTGCTGCTCGCACCGCTGGCCCGCACTCGGACCTGCTTCGAGACTACAGTCTCCATAAACGCCAAAATCGCACACCCTCAATACGAAACCATTAACCCGAAACCCCAAACCCTAAACCCCAAACCCTAAACCCTGAACCCTAAACCCTGAACCCTAAATCCCAAACCCGAACCC